AAAATTGGCGTAATTTCAACCGCTCTATCGCCCGGAAACGATAGCATCTGCCGAATACGGCTGCGTCCATCAAGATATTTTAATACGACAGATACGTCTGGGCTGCAAGACATGTTGCATTACGACTACACGCGAGACAGGATGTAAATTTGCGCTCGTGTAGCGTGCGTTTAGCCATACGTCATTGTCATGTGTCTTATGAATTATTCCGCAGCAAATCTATAACTGTATTTCAAACGTTTATCGTTACTTAAAAAAACTCGTGCAAAATACAAATTTTTAAAAAATCACACAACAGTATTAAGTTCGAGTATCAGTTTCTATGCCGTTGTCATAATAATCATTCAAAATGTATCGAAAAGAACACAGCTGAAGAGAGATGTGCATTTTTCGTGGACGCGTATAAGATAAGAATGACTGAAAATTCCAGCATTCGCTGAACACGTCTCGTAAGATTAAAGGATAGAAATCTAGCAAAGGATAAAGCTCGCAAAGGATGGTCACCGCGGCGCACTAAAGTGCATTTTATCTTTAACGACTCCGCCCGCCGGAAACGGCAAGTACGGTTCACTTACGCCGCTGTCTAGTCGGTGCAGACACTATTCACGAACCGTATAGGTGCGTTTGCTCTATGCAAGCTCCTACGAACGAACGTTTCATTCAGAAATTGAATTAACGATCGATGCTCTTTTCACAAATAACGGAGAAAGGAAAAAGACTGTAGCAAAATTCTGAATATTGCGAAACCTGCGAAATTTCTGGAAAATTTGGACGGAGAAAATTGAAGAAAAGTCAAGAAATTTGCGAATTTTGCAGTGAAAGATAGAAATTTTACAATACCGTTTATGACATTTTTATAACACCGTTTACGACTGCAATATAAAAGGGAAATCAATTCATTTCAACTTCCGGCATAAACGTATTTTGGAACACCGGTGTGGCTGTCGTCGTCGCCGCGACGTACACTAAGGAGAGCGCAATTGCTGCGACGTCTGCCTTATCGCATGTGATCGATAACCGGGACTGGTTTCATATCCGGTTCCTGCCGTGCGCGTTGCTTATTCACCTGCGTCACCTAAACGTCAAGTTCGTCCGGGCTTCGCGCGTCCTCTCAACCGTTAAATGAGCGGACAAACAATCGGCGTTCCCGCCGGGCTCAACTCAGTGTAACCCTTCCACAAGTGCTGAACGTTCGGATTGTGCAATACCTGTTCTTGTAAGCGGATGAAACAATAGAACCGATGAAATTGGCTTTTCACCGCCTGTGGCGCTCATCGTTCATTGTTTCGTGCTTTTCGACTTCGAAAAAAAAAGACAACCTGCTACCTAACGATTTCTTTAATTTTGTCAGAATGCCACGAATGGATTTATAAATCTTGAGACAAAACAGCAATGTCGGTCGTGTTGTGACAACAAAATTGTTCGTCCGCTTGATGCGACGTTCAACCATTGTACTTATCGTATTTTATGATTCAATAAAGAAATTGAAAATTTCATCTTCAAAAACATAAATACATATTGCAATCATCTATTAAATGCACGATTGTTATCTTTACCAAAAAAAAAAGTCGACGAAAAATTACATATACGTAAGTTTATCCCGCCGGAGAAAAAGAGGCGAAATTTTCAGAAAAAAAAAACCAAGTACAATTGATTCGTCCCGTTTAGCTTCGAGCGAATCAACGGGGTATTAACAGGGGCAGTAATTTGCAGGACAATACCGAAACACTGTTAACAAATCCCGTGATCCTATTGGAGGTGACCGCACGACGGTCCTCGCAACGGCCAATTTTCATTACGGTGCGGCAATACATTTCGGCTTGCCATTTGGACTGTGTCCGAGTCTCGGCCAATTATACTCTGCTTGTGTACAATCAACAGAAATCAATAACACCTTGTCATCATATCCGCCTCCGTTGTATATATATATACATATATATATATACATCCCGTGCAGTCGAGATGATTGCGATATGGGGATAAATGTGACATCACACCGTTGCCTGCGATAATAAAGTAAGCAGGCGTTGTAAAATCATTGGAAAGCTCGTATTAATATATCCGCCTGAGAGATTCAGACTTTTATTTCGCTATCGTGCAATTATCGTCGCATCGCTCGCTCTCGCGAACGTCGATTTATGGAAATGGTTTGTCAATTCACGCGACTGAATATCGGCTTCATCAATTAATGCGTTACGGCGGCTGATACTCCCCCGCGTCGCCGATCGGTCGAATCTCGCCGCGCGCGATCGCTCTTAACGGCTTATTAAATTAATTTGTCTAATTAATCGGCCGGTGCGTGCGCGCCCCGTCGTCGTAATTAGCTGAGTTTCGCGAATCGCCGGCCGCCGGTGCGAGCAAAGGTTCTGTGAATAATTTGGCGAATTATTTCGATGGCTCGTAGCGCGTTTAATATAGACCGATTGCTTGATTGCGGGAGGCATATTAACGGGTTATTAGGCGGAAGGCGATAAAGGCACGGCCTAACGCGCAAATCACTCGTTCGCGTGTCGCCTGGTCGGTATATGTGAATCTACGTGAGCAAAAAAGAAGAAAAGAGGCGACGCATGAAGAATTAATTACACGCGACTGCGAAGATAAACACGCGAATAAATTGACTTGTCAAAATAAAGCATCGGTGCGTTTCGCGATACCGATTTAATCTCAATCAAACCGGTAATTAACGCGAAGCTTCGTACATATCATCTCTCATTTTTCTCTCTCGTGCGAAAAATAAACAATAAAATGTTTAAAAATAGAATCTTCAATTTCCGATGGAATTGTTTCTGCGAAAGCGAGAATTGCATAAATTATGAAAGGATCGAACGTTTCCGTTAGCTATTTATTTATTTATTGAAAGTATCACTCGCTTACACAGAAGGCATGATTCCGAAGGAACGAGCAAGTAAGCTTAGAGAACAATTGCTTCGTTCCCTAACTATGTTTCCTTCTCTTCCATATAATGGCGACATCTGGTTCTTCAGATCCCGGACACTGTAATCGTCTTATCTCCGTGCCACCGACAATATCCCCTACAACTGCTTCGAGCAGCAAAAAGGGTTAACTAATCAGGGAAGTTAGTGTAACTAGTTGTAGGAGTATACGTGACCGTTGTACGAGCCGAACAACTGCTGACCTAACCAACGCTTAATTTGTGACTCCAGATACGTAATCATATCTGATGTGTAACTTGTTCAAACTCGTCACAGCTCCGCAATCGGATTTCGCGAATCGGTTTCGAAACATCAGTTTCGAAATATATAGAAATTTTTAAAAAGTAATTTTATCACTTTGCTGTGTGACACTTAAATCTAATAACGCTCCAACCAATATATGGTATTTTATGAGCGCTGCAGTTTAAGTGTCCATTAAAAAGTATGTTCTGCAATGCCTGCAATATACTCTTTCGTATTTATTTCTATTAGAATTTATTTCTCCCGTCTTTAAACACGGTTGAATTTCAATACCATAGAATACCAGAACTGATCCTTATTTTTACTCGCGACTAGAAATATTATAATCAGCGTGCATATTTTTCTATACAATAATTAAACCCGCTGAATTATCAGTCTGGAAAATAAGCGTGTCAATTACGTTCATTGCACCGCAGAAATTAAGCTCGTAACAATATCCACTCGCGGCGCATTGTATCGCTCGCTCGCGGAACACATGCGAAAGCGATCGGTCAGACCGCGTACAGGGCTTTGCAATTATCGCGTCCTTTGTCGCACGTGCGACGGCGGACAAAGGAAACGCGAAAGAAATATCGCTTCGGGCGCAAACGGCGGAGCGCATGGCAACGGAAATTATGATGCTCGCTTTCAGCGATTGGCGAATTAACAAACATGGCGAGAGAGGCGGGAGGAAACATCGTCTACCGGCGTTATGTTCTCCCCCCCTCCCCCCTCCCACCCAAAAAAGCGAATGATTCGCGTTTTTATTGAGAACCGAGTGCTCGTAAGTTTTGAGAGGACCGCTTTTCGATATCGCTGGACGATCGCAAAAAAGAACTCCGACATTTGACGACGACTATATATCTCGGAAACAGATATCCTTTTTGTCGCGAGTGGCTTTATTCATTGTGTTTCGTGATAAATGTTGTTAATAACGCCAGAATGCACATGTTTTGGCACATTCATTTCTGATAGAATTTATTGCGTTTATTTTATTTTCGTTTGTTTCGCGATGAGTAAATGGGCTTTTAGATTAAAATTTTTTTATCGAGTTTTTTTTCCGCTAAACCTTAAATTTTTTTTAACAATCCTTCTCTCTCAAACTTATATTTCCTAAAATTCTATTAATATATAAGTCTTCTGTATAACAGAAAATTTTGTTACTCCTCCTCCGACTTTTCTTTGCGATGTCAACTTTTATCTCTGATCCAATTCAATCTTCAAACACATTTACCTGCTTTTGTTTCATCAATGTCACAATATGATATTATAATAAAGAATGTTTGAGTGAATATATTGACAAGCTGTATCTGTGAATTTTTTGATCAATGCAAAGTTATTTTCTTTTCAACAAAAATATCAAACTGGCTGATGGTTTATCTGTTACAGCCAATCGCGAATAAATTGTTTTCGGGAAATCAATTTTCCAAATGCAAATAGGCAAATAATTTCATTCTTTAATAAATTTCATGTAGATTTTAATTTCAGAATTTACGGCTTAATTTTTTTATAGCTTGATTTATGACTAACTTTTAAAGATTTTTGATATTAAACATAAGATCAACTTTCGCAATACAGACTAAAATATTGTCAATATATTTGTAACTCTCATTAAAATATATTTCTTGGACGTGTCAATGAAAATGTTGATGTGATTAACAATTAAAAGGTTTGCTTAATCGCATTTCCGCTGCAGAAATTTGTTCTTAATTACTCAAAGATTCCGTATGTGTAGAGAAAATACGTTCTATACACACACACCTATATATACATGTATAAATTAATGATGGATATGTAGTGGAATTCAAGCATATTACAGAGAATTACCTTTCTGCGTACTCGTGTTAACGACCAGGCGGTGCGGCCTCAACATGATTTGTCGCACCCTGCGCGAATGAAAAAGCAGATTGACGCCTCGTCGCATTACAATTTCTCTCCCTCCGCTTCCCTCCATCAGCATGCTATATGCCGGGCATCGCACGACAGATAAAACATCATTTATTATCAGAGCGCGTCGACCTCGACCTCTCAACGCCCTCCTCGACGTGAGGGCGCGTCGGCGAACAGGAGCTTACGGACAAAGAATGTTGTGTGTGCGAATATCTCCGCCCGTCTGTGCTCTCCGACGAAGATGATCGCGCGCGATTCAACGGGGAGAGACAAAATTTGCCGCAGCGGAAAACTCCATTCCCCGGATTACACGTGTCCGCGCGTGACAGTGTGTGCGCGCGAGTAATATTACACACAATCGCGAAGACAGATTCAGTGACGGATTTATGAGTTTAGATTTTGATAAATCTTCGAATAATCGCTCGAAGGATTTATTCGCGACACAAAAGCCACATTTTATTCCAAAAAGTACACAAGACTCGCGATATGAGCGATAAAAGAACCAGATTTCTTCTCGAAACACACACAAGACCCGCTAAAATATTTTTTGTATATATTTTCAAGGATAAATTTTGAAAATTTTCATATACGCAGCTTGAATAAATCATGCTTTTGCAAAATATAATTAATATTTTGGTGAAAATTGTTTTATATTTATCGTCGGTTTCTTTCGTTTCTTTTTCCGCCGCCTTTCATATCGCGATCGAAGGGGACGGTATTGGCTTAATCGAGAGTGGTGACGTCGCGGTCGTACGCTTTACGGATCTAAGCCTAAATCCACCACTGAACGGCGGTTAATGCAATCGCTGTCGCAGAAATGAAAAGCAAAGAGACAGAAACGGGATAAAACGAGAGTAGATGAAAGGACGGATAACGAGAATTAAACATCGAGAGACTCCCGTGCCAAGTGCCGCTCGCTTTTACGGTCGTCAATCGATGACTCACGCTGTCGCTCGTGCACGAGTGAGCGAGCAACACGCGCGACATTCGCGTCGCACATACGATGATCCACGGCCAGTGCCAATTAAATCTCTTTTGTACGGCCGTTCTCTCATTCCCGGAACCCGTTTTTCACATTCAACGTCTACGCTCCCCTTGGATCGCGTTCGTCAGTATTCGTCGATGGAAATTTGGCGAGATGCACTTCTGTAATTCTCCGATGCATTTCTTTTATGAATGATGATTGCCGCAATGTGTCGCGAGATTTGAAAAATATCGATTTACGCTTGTAAAACTTATCTGTGTAAAAAGCCAGTTACTAAATTATGTCGCGCGTGATTCTCGGAGAAAGTAAATTTGCGCATCGGAGAATAATTGAAACCGAAACCGCTTATTTTAGTCATCAAACGAGGCGTAGTCAGGAGTTAAATTTAGGATTAAGTTGCCAATTTCATGTTGTTCGCGTCTGCTACGAATAATTTTACATTAACACATATGATATTTTTTTTTAATTTATTATAACGCATAGAATACTTTAGTTTTGAAAATAATTTGTGGAATTCTTTCATCCTTTTTTTCGAATGACAAGTTATTATCAAAGTGCACTTCAAACTAAATGAGAAACTATATTTTGCAAAGAATCCTGCAAGTATAATAATGTGCAGAGAGTCACGCTAGTTGATTGCAAAAATACACCTTGCATCTTCCTGGCTACGCCTACATTGACGAATCCTTTAAGCAGCAGTTTAAACTCTGCAGTATTCATAAACTTTCGAACAATATGAGCGTTGCAAATCGCAAAAGAAAAATTTTTCTTAGTATCTGTTTTCTTTTGTGTACAGATAGACCTCTCAATCTTGACACTCCTCGTTTCCTGTAAATAGAATTGTCAACATCCAATCCTTCTTAGCGTTAATTTTCGTGCCGGGAGTTTCAGTTCCGTTCCAAGTACGACTGTAATACGGTCTGAATAAGAGAGAGGGATTTCTCTCCCGCTGGGTTTCTCGGATTTCCATTGTGGATCCGCTGCTAACTCTTTGACGACTGACGGAGATAACTTTTTTTTCTTAAGTCAAACGACGGGCGGTTTCTGCCGCACGGTCTAACGATCGCGTGAGTTTTTTCAGCCGGAGGCTCTGCTGAAAGAGATGAATAGTCAATTTCGGCAATAAATCAGCCCACCATCTCGCACCCATGAGTTCCTATTCTTACACTCTTTCCTTTGTTTTGTGCACTCGCGCGTTGCAAAATAGGCGTGGCGTGAGATGCATATTCGCATTTATACCGCGGCGAAACCGTAAAACGTATTGTTCAACGTAGTGAACTATTTTGCATGCTAAGTCAACGGTAATTAGTGACTAACGAAGCGTAATAAACAGGTAATAACAGGCCAGATGCTAAAATTATAATTGTTTCAAGACGTCAAATTGAACCAACGATATTAAGACAAACAATATCTTCATTCTCCACTTTAACCAGCAATCGTCAAAGAGTTAATTATACAACTGTGTGTCAAATTACGGACATCAAAATTCCGTTATCAATTGACAGTTTCCATCATATTTACGGATATCTTTCAAAAACGTGACGTCGGTTCCAAGATTTATTTTTCATATTATAAAAAATATTATATAAAATTTTTATATAAGAGATTGTTATTAATAAAAATGTAGCGCTTAGTGCAATCACGAAGAGCATCAATGGAAAAAGATATCGATAAATTATACTTTATAGTTTGAATTAATAATAAAGTTTCATAATTTTTTCTTACGAATAATTTTCTTACTTGTTTAAAAAAAAGTACCCAAACCACGGGTATTTTTTTCTCGTTCTTTCAGAATATTTTATGATATTTTTAATATTTTATGAATAAAAATGTAATTTTTGGCTCAACGTTTTTTTTTAAATCAGACATAAAATATATAATCTGTTACTTCCACTTCGCGTTTCATTTTCGAAAGATTCCATTATGAATGTTAAATCTCCCTAAATTCGAATACTAATCTATCAAAAGTGTACTCATCTGCTTTGCATCTTGCGGCGATCCTTTCCACTCCCGTTCGACGTTTCCAAAATTTTTCACCGTGGAAAGTCTCTTGAAGGCACGTAGAAATAATTCATGAACGTATCGATCAAAAACACTTTTGTCCCGTTTACAACATTCATGGTATTATCGATCGCTCCTAGTATGATGTATGTTTTATGAGGATAGTCTGTGACAGACTTCTAAAACTCATGCATCCTTCTTATCATTCGATCGCTGCAATTTCCATAATAAATCACTTGAAATAAAAAAAATAATAATATTCCAAAATCACTGATTTCAACAGGTTCTTTAATTTCAAATTTACATTTTACTATTGACAACCATGATTAGCGCGTTAATTTCGTAAAATATTTTTCTCTGTATTAGCCATCATCGAAATCCGCCTAGAATATTTATTACGCGTTAACATATTTATCACACATTGCTATAAATAGATTCGGGCTATGCAAACTCGCGTTACGAGATAGAAAATGTTGCATGTATTATCGGAAGAATTTATTCTTTCCTCCACTATCTTTTACGTTTGTGCGCACGTGATATCTCTGGGGAAAGGGCTCCGACTTAAAAAAAAATGTGTACACGCAAAAGTCTGCGAACAAATTTTTCCAGTAAAAAAAAAAAAAGAGTAGCAAACGTTTAATATTTTATTGTATTTCTTTTGCAAAAAATATTCGTATTGATATCCAATATTTTATCGCTTTATCAGTGAGAATAAAATAGATTTATTTTAGAAGTAACGCTATGGATTTTACTTTCAAATGCAAGTCACATCGGCACGATATAAATATATATCGATGTTTAATTGATTTGAAAAATTTTTTTTTAAATCGTAGTCACGCTACGTTCAGAACAAGCGAGAATGAGTCAATTTCTGATGCGAACGCGGTATTCGCGGCACGAACGCATACTATGTAAATTCGCAAGACAAACGGCAAACACGGGAATGAGAGGTTGACGCACAACTCGCGGGAGCAAGTGAATATACGCCCGTTTGCACGGGCGCGCGAAATGCAACTGCGAGAGGAATTCGTGCGAACCGTAGTAGTGGCATGCACATGCTTCTGGAGTTGAGCACGTGCCATCGGTGAACGCAGGTATGTGTGCGCGCCCGCGCAATCGCGACCAGACAGCGGAGAGGTGGAGTCTCAAACTCTTTGCAAGCAATTTCAAATATATTGCACCGAAAAGCTGCAAATTGCAAAAGCCTAACTTTTCAGCTCAAAGTATAACACAGGCCGACACTTTTAGACTTTTTGTCTGCTGTTTGAATGTATTATATTATTTCCGATGTATTTTTTCACGCTGAACACGAATCCGGCCACGAAATTGCTCTATCACGTCAAGTTTTGGAAAAAAGTGAAGTTAAAAGTGTCAAAAGTGATGTTTTTTGGCATTTTTATGAATTTTTTATTGGTAAAGTAAATTTTATTTTTTACTTTTGTTCACGCTATCTTAAAATGTCAACTTTTACCTTTAAACTCGATTTTTTTGATACTCCATACGATTTTTTTTCGCCGAGTTAACCTCGCCGTTGTCAGATGAAGAACAACTTTTCGTGTCAAAAATGTACTTGGAAAACAAAACTTTAGAACTTTGTAAAATTTGTAAAAATATTTGAATATCAAAATTTGGTATATACTGTTTTTTTTACTTTAACGACCCAGAAGTAAAAAAAAAACAGTATATACCAAACTTTATTAAAATTCAAATATTTTTACTTTTGGTCTGCCATATTGGATCGGCCATTTTAAATTTTAAAAATCTTATTTCAGATCCGGATTCAGCGACCTCAAAAACCTTCATGTTAAAATCATCATCTTCTGAAATTTTGTTTTCCAAGTACATTTTTGGCACGAAATGTTCATCTTCGTCTGACAGCGGAGAGGTTAACTCGGCAAAAAAAAATTGTAATCGAGTTTAAAGGTAAAAGTTGGCACTTTAAGATGGCGTGAACAAAAATAAAAAATAAAATTTACTTTACCAGCGAAAAAATCATAAATATGCCAAAAAACATCAATTTTGACATTTTTAACCTTACTTTTCTCAAAAACCTGACGTGATAGAGCAATTTCGTGACAAGATTCATGTTCAGTGTGAAAAAATACATCGGAAATGGTACATTATATTCAAACAGCAAAAACCATGTCGACTAGTGTAATAGATAAGCGTAGAACAGATTCGCCATAAGAAAGTAAAAACACTACACAGAACGATATCACTTCTCCGCCGAATCTATAATTGAAAAGTTAAATGTGATAAAGGGTAGCGTAATTCGGAAAATGTCATCTTTCGAGCAATGAATTTATAACGAATTCTAATTGGTTCGATTCCATCTCCAGCAGAAAACCCTTCACTTGCTGCATATATAATGCACATATGCAACGATTTCGCAATTCCGCACTCAATGAAATCAAAACGGAAGAGAAAGAGAATTCGCGATTATGCCGAAACAAATGATTCGCCGAACGATAACGAGTACACGTTTTACAACTTCGCACGTGTGGTCCACCCCACAAATTATCACGTATCGTCGAACGCCACGAATATTCCGAAATGTTAATAACGATGCACGTGGCAGGTTAATCGAAAATGTTAGCGCGGAAAGTGTTATGTAAAGTTTTAATTTTATGCAAATAGTTTACGATCTGGATATCAGAAAAATCGTGTTTGAGGAAAGCATGATTATAGAAGCAACATTATTTCTGACTAATATCACATCCTTGAAAATCAAATGTGCTTGATGGAAACTCTGTTTGATTCCCTCGTTAAGCAACCTCGACGTTGCTCGGCAAAGGCCTTCAAGGGTCCTGGTAATTAATCTCTGTTGTACGACGAGTCGGTAGCACAAGTTGGTCCATTTCTCTCCCTATCGCTCAGAAGCGGTATTTTATTCACCTTGCCTTCCTTCCGCAACATAACGCGCAATCGCGCTGTTTTTCCGTTTCGTTTCGCGAATATTGAATAAGAAGCATAGCGAACTGTCATAAGTACAAAGAACAATTAATTTTACGTCGGACCGGCGACGAAGAACACGCGAGCAAGTGTATAAAGTACGATTCAATTGCGCGTCGCCGAAGAGCCGCGACCAGCATCCATGTATCACCCGAGACACGAACCAAGGACGTATGGAATCTTTACTTCCGTAACATCCGGTCTGCAGCGGCGAGTGCACAGCGAAGCGTAAAAACGTTGTTCACGTGTGTCCACGCGTATCGCCCGAGCGACAAGATTGTGCTCTTCTGAAAAAGACGAATAAACCTCGAGAGCGCAAGACTTCTATTAGAAATTTCTGCCGCGGAAAGATCGATTTCTACAGGATATTTATAGCAACACTTTTCGGTGTATCTGGAGCAGTTTATACGTTCGTTGTTATCGTTGATAATCAGATTGCACGCGAATTACATATCCCGAGATATCTTGTAATTATTTCATCCTTCAATGCACGTAAACATTTCTAATTCGCTGATGGATACGTCCGGTTTTACGAGAAATTATTGTTCCGTTGAAGATATTCTTTCGAGCAGTGCGTCGCAGCTTACGGCTGATAAAAAAGTCGTAACCAACCGGATATACAGACCGAATGGTTCTGCGATGCAACAAGATAAGAATCTCGGCACGTTTTTATTCGTGGCAGTAAAACGCGAATGCGATTCCCACGTTTTTGGAACGTTACCGCAAATGTTGCGGTAGGTATATGTATACGTTTACGACATAATGCACCGAATGCGCGATCGAGAATGAGATATTATTGACAAATTAATTATGGATGTGCGTGTACAACAGATCCGTGCATTCCTCGTGTGCTGCGCGAATGTTAAAAACAATGATTTGTCGAGCAAACATCATGCGAGTGTCATAATTAAGACTGTGTAGTTTTTTTCGCCACGGAAAGTCAACACTCAGACTACAAGCAGAAATTGGATATTTTCAAAGAGAAAAGGGGTAAAGACATAAACGCGATGTCAAATACCGCACTTATACATATGTCGCAAATATACATATATGTATATGTATATGTATATATTTGCCGAGGGTTGCATTTGCCTCGAGCGTTCGCGCTTTGAACATTCATCTCGTTAGCATAAGAGCATAAAACCACAGTCGGATAAGACAGTCCACGTACGGTCCAGCAAAGCCAGAATGTTGGAAATACCGTCTCTTTCGTCCAGAAATAGGTTAAATACGTCAGTAAAACGCTTCTTTGTCGGGCGGAAATTCGAATCTGTAAAGCTTGTAAAAGCGGCTTGGTGGAATGATTCCGAGCAAGTGACGTCGGAAAGAGAACAAAGGACCGTATACTTTCTCGTGGCAGAATAAACGGCAATTATGATTATCTCTCTCTCTCTCTCTC